TGCCAAAATCAGGAGCATCCTGTCTCAAAGTGATGCTGAAAAACTGGTCCATGCATTTGTTACTTCCAGGCTGGACTACTGTAACTCTTTACTATCAGGATGTCCCAATAGTTCCCTAAAAAGCCTCCAGTTAATCCAAAATGCTGCAGCCAGAGTACTGACAGGAACTAGCAAGAGAGCTCATATTTCTCCCATATTAGCTTCTCTCCACTGGCTCCCTGTAAAATTCAGAATAGAATTTAAAATCCTTCTCCTAACATACAAAGCCCTAAATGACAAGGCTCCATTGTAGAGCCTTATCATCCTAACAGAGCACTTTGCTCTCAGAGTGCAGGTTTACTTGTGGTTCCTAGAGTCCACAAAAATAGAATGGGAGGCAGAGCCTTTAGCTATCAAGCTCCTCTCCTATGGAACCAACTCCCAGTCTCAGTTCGGGAGGCGGACACCCTCTCTACCTTTAAGATTAGACTTAAGACGTTCCTTTTTGATAAAGCTTATAGTTAGGGCTGGATCAGGTGACCCTGAGCCTTCCCTTAGTTATGCTGCTATAGGCCTAGGCTGCTGGGAGGGCATGATGCTATGAGTTTCTCTCCTCTCCTTTCTTTCTCTCTATGCTTCTATATGCCACCATTACCCATCACTAATTGCATGTCTTCCTTCTCCCGTAGTGTGTCCGCTCTCTCTCCCTGTACCTTTCTGCAGGTAGCCCTGGCCCTGGAGCTCTACGTTTCTGATGAACAGTCACCGGCCGCATCAAGCTGCCCAGTGTTTGATTGTTTGTTGTGTCTTATTGCTTTTCTTCTCTTTAGTCTCTCCTCTATCCACTCGCCCCTGTTGTACCTGTTGAGGAACAAGGCCGCCCACCAAGAGCCACGTTTTTCTTTCCTGCTGTCACCAAGTGCTTGCTCAAGGGGGATTTGTTGGGTTCTCATCTTTAATAATAATAATAATACTAGTAAGGTCAAGACCTTACTTTGTAAAGTATCCTGAGATGACTTTTGTTGTGATTTGGCGCTATACAAATAAAATTTGATTTGATTTGATTTGATTTTCAGGTGACCCTGAGCCTTCCCTTAGTTATGCTGCTATAGGCCTAGGCTGCTGGGAGGGCATGATGATATGAGTTTCTCTCCTCTCCTTCCTCTCTCTCTATGCTTCTATATGCCACCATTATCCATCACTAATTGCATGCCTTCTCTCTCTCCCGTAGTGTGTCCTACCCCTGTCGTCAAGGGGGATTTGTTGGGTTTTCCTTCTGTAATAATAGTGATAACAGTAAGGTCTAAACCTTACTTTGTCAAGTGTCCTGAGATGACTTTTGTTGTGATTTGGCACTATACAAATAAAATTTGATTTGATTTTCAAAGCTGGAACTTGTACTGACAGCCAGCTGCTGCAGCCACCTGCACCCGTAATCAGCACACCTGCTCCAGCACGGCATGGCCTGGAAAATGATAGTCACATTTTCAAGGTTTTCATGACTGTACAGACCTCGTTTAAAGCTGCATTAACTAGATGGACCGTAGAGCTCCCTGTGCAAGTCCAACCCAGGATGGGAGCAGACCTGTTGGACCCAAGAGGCCATGTTTTGTTGCAAAGAAGGAGGTGAAACCAGGGTTAACATCGGTTTGGCATGTCGGAGATGGAGAACACTAAAAGCATCCAGAGCACTAACATTTGGCCAGATGTGGCTTTCTTCCTGCATAAATACTGTAGCTGGCTAACGTGTATATGTTGGCATCATTAGCAAGCTAGTGTTAGCTTTTCAATTTTGTATCTCTGTATTGAATCTGGTTCTAATTTGGAGTAATTCCACCTGACTGCAGTGTTAGTGTTTTGTTGTCCAATTAGCAGAAACCAGCATTTTCCTGGATTAGCAAAGGAAGTAATTTTGCTCAGTTTGCTAATTTTTCCTCGGTTTTGGTCCGGTTTTGGTCCAGTTTATGTCGGACATAACACTGCAGTCTATGTAGCATCTTAGAAGTTGTTAAAATTTTCGGCATCAACACAACTAGAAAAGTGGGGAGTTTGTTCAACTATCAAACCGTAACATGAAATTTCACTTGTTTCACATACAACTCGCGGTTACCTCATAACATTGTGTGTCAGGTATGCAACACTGAACGTGATGCGATAGTGGCCAGAACATTAGTGCTGTATCAATATTAGTAGGGACACCATTCTTCTGTATAATTTGCTTGTGTTCCTACAGATACACCTGCTACAAACAGCGTTAGACATATGTACTATGCATATCGCTTGTCGTAGTTCGAGCCTAATTCATTCAGACAAATCATTCCAATTATAATAATAATTTAATATTACAATAATTCAAGGCAGGTCAATAATTTGGCAGACAATTCAACAGACTGGAAGACAGGGGACAGAGTCACCATTCCTGCAAAGTAATGCATCAAAGTATTAGTGTCAAAGAATCAGCCAGTTTTGGTCAGGGGTCCAGTCAGTCCAGAGTTCATTCCCCCCACCCAGGCTTGGGATCGAATGTGCACACACTTCACTACCGCAGCAGCATTCTCCTTCCTACCCCTAACTTTTATCTTCTCCTCATTACATATCCTGTCCACTCCCATCCTTATGGTTTTAGCCGGTCGCAGTCTTATACCAGCTTTACACTCCTTCTTCCAAGAATTGTCTGCAATGGCCAGTA